TTCTCAACAGCGTATAAGCCAAACTATTCAGTAACATAAACTGGCTCCCCGTTAGAACTATTATGTCATCTTGGTTTCAACTTCATTATTTACTCTTCCGGCATGACATTCTTCTTCAGCATATCTGGGCATGTGTGATGTTGTTCTGCAAAGGTGTCTGTGGAGACTCCTGCCCGTGTCTGCCTCATCAAGTCCCACGCTGGGCTCTCTGCGATACCATGTGCTCTTGTTGTTTTCCTTTCTTGCAGCACCATTTTTTCCTATTTCCATACACTCACATTTGTTTTTCGAGGTCTGGATCAAGTGTCAATTCTCCCAAGAAGTGACAGTCCCACCCTCTTGACAAAAATAACTCTCTTTCCTCTATACAACATGGCATATCTGCTCATTTTCCTACTCTGCATCCTTATAGGCTCCCCAATCCACAGAGCGGGTTCTCTCCTACCCGTGTCCCCCAATTCAATCAGTCCTGCTGGTGAGTTGTACCTCAAGGCCCAGAGTCAGGTTGGCTTCAACCAGCCAATCCAATCCCTGGGCGCCTAGCATCCTAGAGAAGGTCCTGGACCACCACATGTGACCAGGTTGCACCTTCTCCCCGAGTTTTAGGAATTAAGTTCTTTGGGAACAGGCATCCTAGTCTTGTCTGCCTTCAACCCCAACCCTTGTGGTTGAATCTATTAAGAGTTCTTTCCTGGCTTGATTATCTAGAACGATTTCCTCCCACTTGCTAGTAGAAAAGGAAAGGATGTGTGCAAAATTTTAGAAATAAAAAATATAAAGAAGTGGGAACCAGCAGTTAGTGTAGTGGCTATGTCGCTGCACTCCCGCGTAGTTGACCGCAGTTCGCGTCCTGGACCCGGTGGCTTAATTAAAACTCACACCGGGCATGTGTGCGTGCGTGCCCAAGATTCCGAGAGGAGAATGGAGGAGTAGGGATTGCGGTGTGACCATCCCCCCTGGGGGGTGATTTCTCGCTTTCTGTCTCTATGTCTCTCTCTGTCTGTCTAGCGAGCGCACGCGCCCTATAGTGAAAACCTCTCAAAAAAAAAATATATATATAAAGAAGTGAGCATATATCAGGTAAATTTTCTTCTATCTGATCTTTATCTAGTGCTTCCACTGGCATAACTGGGTAGCTCCTTTTCATACAGACCCATATCTTTATTTGCAAAACTTTCGCTTGATGGCACTGTAACTTCCTAATGGCCCAGTACCACCACCAAAGGAATACAACAGTATTAATTAGGAAGATTGCCCCTACGGTTTGAAAAACCTGATCACGCTAAAAGTGACTCGAGAACTCTATACAGATACTGCATGTGAAGAAATATCACAGAAAAAAAAAAAGAATGTTAGCAAGTCTCCACTCTCATGCTGAAATTCTCACCAAGATTCTTCTGATCTTCAAATGCACAAAAAATATTGAGTTGTATTTAATTCGATGTGGATGTGATGATCATTTCAAATGTGTACTAGTTTAATTGCCTGTGCCTGGAGCAGTTGGGGCAATTTTTAACCCTACCAGGAAGAGAAAAAGCATCTATACCCATGAGAAAGAAGAACCTCATACTGCAATCATTCAATTTAGAAACAGGGACCAGCAGTTGGCGTAATGGCTATGTCAGTGGACTCCCATGTAGTCAATCGCAGTTCGAGTCTTGGACCCAGTAGCTTAAACTCATGCTGGGTGCATGGGCATGTGTGCCAAGATCCCAAGAGGAGAATGGGGGAGAAGGGATTGTGGCGTGGCCATCCTCCCAGGGGATGATTTCTCACTTTCTATCTCTCTGTCTCTCTCTGTCTTTCTGGCGAGCACACCATGTGCCCTATAGCAAAAACCCCTCTATAAAAAAAAAAGGAAACTTTATCAATGTTTCCTCCTTCATACTTCTGCCAACAGAAACAAACAAACAGCAACAAAACAATATGCTTACAGCAAATCTTACCTAATGTAGACCTGAATGAATAAAAATCCTCTAAGCAAAGACTCTAAAAAATAAAATCTCTTTTCTCCAGATAATCCAAACATGAACGATATTCATATCATTGCTATAGTTCTAGGGGAAAAATGAAAATGCATGTAACTCTGAAATTCATTTGGAAAAACACCGAAAGGCTGATCGTAATCAGGTTTCACTTACACTATCTGAAAGGAAGAACAGAATAGATTTTTATAAATTACATATTAATTTTTGAGAGTGGAAAGAGTTCCTTTTATCTTCTCAAACATTTAGGTTATCTATGGTGGTCATTAAAATTAGGATTAACCAAACTTGCTTGCTTAAATTCCACCTGACCAAAGACAAAAAATGAGAAGACATTCTCAAGTTCCTGATTTCACAGACTATTAAAGTGCAATTCTGTGGCCTATAAAACAGACTGCAATGGCATCTTTCACAAACTGTACTCCTCAAAAAAACCTGAAGATAAATGTCTTTTTCTTAACCCCATTTATATCCGATTCCTCACACACTGGTTGGTCCTCAGTGTGTACTTTTAA